TAATTCATCGATAATAATCTATCCTGATTTCATTTCAGATATGAATACTACCGATTCACATGAATATGCGAAATAATCATGTCAGTATGACCGATAAATCCATTGTAAATTCATGTACACAAGATTGTAATAATAAAAAGTATTTGTACAAACAAAAATGAAAACTGAGTGGCCATTGAATTTTGAAATTAAAATTGTTGTTTTAATTATCCACATGACTTAACTTGTGGTGCGAGCTACTAATAAGTAGTATATGACGTGAGTGTCAACGTAATGTCTGGCAGCAGCAGAAGATGGGGGAAGATCAAGAAAGGAAGAAGAGTGGGAACACAATGGTTGCTCCACCTGTGTTCTCGTTCACTACAAACTTACTTACTTTCCCCTCAAAGGAGCATAGGTCGCTGCTGATCAGCATTCGCTAACTTACTCTGTCTGTCCTGAGTAATTATCCATAATTAGAAATGATACTGTCCAGAAGGTTAAATAATTAAACATATGTTATTATTGAATAAAAATTTCGCGCGATACTTAAAAAAATAAATGATGTGAGTAAACAATCACAATAATAGGTTTTCAGAGAAAATGTTCTCTTAAGTCAATGTATTATTTCTCACCAATCCTAGCAATTGATAAACCAGGAGAATCGCTTATTGACTTGGGAATATGCTGATGACATAGTTCTATTCGGTGAAGACGCTGACAAAATGCAGAGTTTTCTGACTACTCTAAACAACAATGCAAGCATGTTCGGGATGCGGTTCTCAACTTCGAAATGGAAAATGTCGCTTCAAGATTGGGTTTCATCGGCACCTGAACTAGTGACAGGGAGTGAAGTAGTCGAGCGTGTTGATCGCTTCACTTATCTGGGGAGTCTCATCAGTGTTGATGGCCTGATGACTGACGAAATCTCAGAACGGATACATAAAGCTCGATTGGCTTTTGAAAACCTTCGTCATTTATTGCTTAGGCGAGATATCCGTTTGCTAACAAAAGGTTGAGTGTTTTGTGCAGCAGTTCACTCCATTCTCCTATATGGTTGTGAAACATGACCGGTAAGAATAGAAGATATACGTAGGTTACTAGTATTCCATCATAGATGTCTCCAAAGCATTGTTCATGTATCATTGGACAGTCGAGTAAGCAACGCTGATGTAAGGAAACGAGTACTAGGTAAGGATGACAGATCAATAGATGAAGTGGTGAAACTTCATCAGTTGAGGTGATTGGGACATGTGTTACGTATAGCTAACCACCGACTTCCTCGACGAGCTATGTTTTGTGGTGTAGGAGTATTTTGGAAGAAAGCTAGGGGCGGTCAGACCAAAACATGGCACAAATCCATGAAGTTACTGACAAGTGGACTGAGTCATGTCGGTAATTGTCGACTACCTGGTTGGGGTCCGCGAAATGATAATGATCGATGGTTAGAGACCCTGAATGATATGGCTCATAATCGTTTACAATGGCGCAGGTGCATCCACTCTTTGTGTTCTCTCAAATCCTAATCTTCTGGATTCATCAGCACCTCTACCTTTGTCTTTCTAACCTTATCTCACTGAATTAAACTTCTTGAATAATATGTTTGCACCCTAATCTTCTCCATTACCGATAATACCTCTACTATTTCGAATTGACAATTGTGTATCTGTGCTGATGTGGTGTGGCAACCTGAACTGATGTACTTACGTACGAAGTTCTACCTTGTAAATGACTGACTGACTGACCAGTGATAAAATTTCTCCATGGATTCATAGAAAACAAATTTCGCGCTGTTGCAAGAACTATGCCATTGCCAACCATGGGATTGAGGATATTGTCACGTAGCAGTTTAACTTCTGTTACTTCATGCATATAAAACCAAAAGTTTTTAAAAGTAGAAAACATTCAGTGGTTATAATTGCAAAATATTATCTGCGTTTAATGGAACATTAGAGTGTACAGTACAGTAAAACAAATTAGAAATAAGGTTAAAAGTTCAAATATATTGACGGCCTTGAGTGAACCAATCAAAATTAAGATAAGTAATTGGCAGAATAATTGCTCTCAAGGCAAATAGTATGTTGCAGTACGTGTTGCGTTGTCAAGAATGTTTTTAATGAAGTTCAATAATATCCTCATTTTCGAAATCTGACTCTGGATCTCAACCATAAGTTTTTCATGGTTTGTAAACAGAAGGGTAACACAACAATTCCTCATAGCTGATGTCAGTTTGTGATAAAAACCCTTACCTAATTCTTAAACCCAACTCAAAACTGCAGCATAACTTTTAATACCTAACTCTAACCTATTTGTATCATAGGTGGCCTAAGTTAGTGACGAAAACTCTATGGGTTGGTAATCCTAACTGTTGTAACGCTTGCTTGAATATAATTCCCAGCTAAATCCTATTGCTTAGTATTCTCTGACCACAATACACTAGACAAGTTCCAAAGAATCAAAAAACACGGTTGAACAGGAAAAGATTATGAGATGGTGGAGAAAACTTGTAGCTCAGGTGGATGATTGTGAAGGTGTTTTGTTCTCTGAGCTGGTTGTTTATATATATATATATTCCAAATAGCAAACTTAAATGGAAATAAGAAGGCGAAAGCAAAATAGATACAACGTTAGTTGCTTTATAGCATTTACATGAGAAGCTTCTGGATAGAAATTCACGTGATCGACTGGATTAGACTTAGCCAATCAGCATGCAGCTAACAACACGAGAACTTTCTACCCTGTTCTCCAAGAGTCGATCAGGCGCTGATTGAATGGGAAATTAGCCAATCAGCGCGCAGCTAACGCAGTCGTGCTTTATTCCCATCTATGTTTCACTAACACTAACTCAGAGCACTAGTTCGGATTTTAAAATGTAAGCCTAACCTATTTGTTTCAGAACAAGGAATAATTGTTGTATGCACTTCCTTAGTTACTTACGTCTGTTACCCTCAATGGGGAATAGGCTGTCGACCAGTATTCTCCAACCTACTCTGTCCTGAGCTTGTCTTTCCAATCCTCTCCAACTGCTGTTCATTTTCTTTATGTCTGTTTCCATTTCTCGACGTAATGTTTCTCTTGGCCTTCCTCTTTTCCTTTGAACATGAGGGCGTCTTCGCTTTAGAACAAACTAATTAACCTTTTCTGCCGGAGTGTCATTATTCACACATCTTACGACCTTATCAACTATTGAGAGAGTATGAGTATGCCTACTTCGTTTATCGCATGTCTTGTTCATTTTTGCCTAGCCATGAATACTAAGTCACGTTTCATCGCATTGAGTTGGCTCGTTCTTCTCCTTCTTCTCCACTTCACTTTGTTTTTTATCCTCCTGTATTTCTGCTTGAACGATGAAATAAACTCATCCAATTCAATCCGTTATTTGACTTCTTATTACTACCGTTGAACAAAACATGGTTCGCTTAATTGTAATATATGGAAACTGAAAAGAAGGATTTATTTCATAGCATATTTAACTGTTTGTAAAAATCGGCGACTAAAATAATCGAGCTCCATTTCGAGTTCAACTCAACCACTGAACATTCATTTTTGGACTGCTTTACTTACTGCGAAGAATAATTAAAAACAAATTTTGTTTTTTGAAAATGACAAATGAAACCTAGTATAAACCTATGTACGTTATCCTCTGGCTTAAACATAGTATACTCTACCAAAAACCATTTCATGGTCGATACAGGTTACTACAATTCACACTTAACGACCATTAGAAACCTGGAAGCATTGGACGGCAGTTTCGTCTTGGTACGAGACTCATCAGCGGTGCACATCCACGACTCCTGTAACTTGCAGGATTGGAACCAAGGACTTTCGGTCTTACGCGCGAGAACGCCTAACCCCTAGATCACTGAGTGAATATCACACATTTTTTCAATTAATTCAGTAAAGAAAAGATATTGAGAATCCAGCATATAAAGCTAAGATTACTTCAGATATGGTCCAATCATACGGAAGCAATATTTGAACAGTATTTATGAACAACTACAAAGTGAGCCTCTTCTTTAGCTTTGTCAACATGAACATCAGACGTCATGACATTCTTTTCCTCATATCAGTATCAACATATGAGACAGAGAGGTATATGTGGATGTAGAAAGGATTTCATTTCGACCAATTTGATCCCTCCTGCTGTTACGAGTATGAGGGCGGTTGTCACTTCCCGGCTGCCCACACCGTGGAAGGTTGTTTCTTGAGGGACCTGAAAAGGAAGATAGATTAGTGTGTTGGTCTTAGAGACCTGGTTGCGTGACCGTAGAGCCCAGGGGATAACTGCTTCACGCCGGTCACGCACGGCCTTTTTATGAAAGGTTTTTTTGAGGATTAGCTCCGCTCTTGAAAGCCCATAGTGGGCAGCCCTTACCCAAGGAGACGGAAATCCGTGAGGTAGGGTGAGGTGTGACATTTTTACGGTTGACCTTTTCTAACCTTTCCTTCCTTGTGAGAAGGCAGCATTGCTGCAAATGCTGGTTGTCCGAGGGAAACACCTTACTGCTGTTACATCCCTCTACTTTCAGTCAGCATTACGACTTCGCCCTCAGACCTTGAGTAGCTGCTTTTAGTCTCATCGTTCTCCAATCGACCTGCCTGGCATGGTAGAACCTTCAGGAACATATGTTCCAGCCAATGTAGCTCGGTTGGGTCATCACGATAGGTAAGCCCGACCACCACGTCAAGGAAGCAGCTACGGTCGGGTCAACATATGAACATACATTCGAACGGATAATATTTGAAATATACAATTTCTAGAAGCTTGGCAATCAACAAACACATCAACATTAATTGAATTTACCAACCAATCAGAGGAGAGACTGACAATGACAGGTTCAAGGTCAATAAGAACCAATCAAAACTGAAGTCGACAAGACAAGCTACTCGCCATAATACATGAAAAAATTCGAATACTTCACTTCTCTACTTAAATTTTATGCTGAGAATGTTAATCAGAAGAACAATGAAAGCTTCACAACCAAAACATATCCAGCTCAGAGTGGAACAAAACTCTACCATAAAACATGAATCATTGTATTGTATTGTACAGTAAAAAAACAAACATTTTCAGTGGTAAAATTATAAATAGATAAGAATGAGAGAAATTAGTTTTGGTTAAGAATTTTTACAATATAGTAAGTACCATTGTTTATATATAAATATATAAAATGAATGAATGTGATTAGGACATTTTTTTCTTTCAATGTTCAAAGTGTTCAATAATCAATGTGACACCGGAAATGGCAACCATTCAATCACAACCACAACAATAAAACACACAGGGCAATAAATTTGAACACATTAGACAAGAGAAGAAAGAGAGTTTAAGTTAAAATCATCAATAATCATACATTCTAGTGCTGGTTGTTATTGATTGATTGATTGATTAAAAACTCACAAAAATAATTTAAAATGTGCCAAAATAACGTTGACCAAAATGACTTGGTACAATTGGATGAATTTCTGATGTGACTACACGTAATGCTGGATTACGTGTTAAAACATTGACAAGACCTGTGTAAAGAAGTATAAAAAAAAATAAATAAGATTGAATTGGTATTGTATTTTTTTTAGTGAAGTTGTTTGTTTAAAACAACAACACAAGAGGGGGGATCTGATTATGTGACTGTTAAATGAAACAATAAGATATGATTAGCCGGACGACAGACAATCAATTGACTATTTAGAATTATGTTGAACAACATATTGTCTAGTCTGGTTACTTTCTCGTGTTTTATTTTCTCTGGTCTTGAATTGTGTATCTGGTATGATGTGATTTTAGTCTATGCGTGAATTATGTGTGCATATCGATTAAGTGTCTAGTTGAATGGTCGGTATAAATCTCAGATCAATCTAGTCATATGGTATTGTGTTATGGTAGGCAGTAAAGAAATAACCATTTTTATTCAACAATCATAGTTGTCTTCCTAGCGGAAATTGACTCTGTCGATTACGAGGTTCTAGGACAGTGTTTGCCATTGAAAAGTGTACCAGGCTCTCTACTCGAACACTACTGGTCAGGTTAGAGCTTATGGTGAACTGTCATCAGCAGATTTCATTACTTCAAGTGGTGTTCGCCAGGACTGTCGACTTGCTCCATTCTTGTTTAACTTTGTCATACACATGATTTTAGAGATAATAATATCTTCGTCTGATTTTTCAAGAGTTGACCTTCGACCAGGAAAAACACTTTCTGACTTAGAGTATGCTGATGGCGAGTTTACTGCGTAGCAGTTCACACCGACCTACTTTATGGCTGTGAAATATGACCAGTTATAGTTAGGGATATTCTTAGGTTTAGTAGTAATAGATGATCGGTGTCTTCAAGGCAATGGCGTTGTTAGGAAACGAGTACTAGGTTAGGATGGAAGGTCAATAGATGAAGTGGTGAAACTTCATCAGTTGAGGTGATTGGGACATGTGTTACGAATGCCTAACCACTGGTTGCTTCGTCGAGCTATGTTTTGCGGTGTAGGAGTAAAATGGACGAAAGCTAGGGCCGGACAAAACAAAACATGGCACAAATCCATAAAGTCACTGACAACTGGATTGAGTCATTTTGGTAGTTGTCGACTACCTGGTTGGGGTCCGCGAAACGATAGTAACCGATGGTTAGAGACCATTTGTCAGTGACTTTATGGATTTGTGCCATGTTTTTGGTCTGGCCGCCCCTAACTTTCTTCCAACCTACTCCTACACTACAAAACAAAGCTTGTCGAGGCAGTCGGTGGTTAGGCATACGTAGCACATGTCCCAGCCTGGTTTTCTCTAGTCTGTTCTTCACGAGCTCTAGTTAGGCGTTTAAGTATAATAAAGACTAACAGTTTAGAAACTATATTAGTTAGACTGATTCCCCTGTGGTTGTCATAAGAAGACTTTTGTCCTTTGTTATACATTGGGACAATCAGGAATTAAGACCAGTCGGATGGGATTACGTCCAGTTCCCAGATTCTACCTAAGATCTCAGTCAACCTAGCTATTAAAACTGGACCACCATCCTTAAATATCTCAGGGGTCAGTCTATCAGGATCTGCAGCTCGTCCTCGCTTCAGATTTCCTAACGCTTTCTCAACTTCGTGTAGACTAGGAGGACTTAAATCGATTTGCCATTCAGGATGACTGGAGATCGTGGGCAACTGAAGAGTGGCTCAAGGCTAGTTGAACTGATCCCTAAAGTGTTCTGCCCATTGGTCCAGTCTCCTGGATTGAGAATGGATGATAGTCCCATCCCTTTCCGAGATAGTCTCACTTACACTAGGATTCCTAATACCAGTTTCCTTGATGAGTCTAAATAGTTGCCTATCGCCGCTGCCTTTTCTACCTCTCTCGCTTTCTCCACCCACCACTGTTCTCGATCATTGCGTACGCTTTTTACCAGCCTACGTCTAAAGTGACTCCGTTCTTCATCGCACTCAGAGCTAGGCGGGATGAGTTTCTGAGCATCCATCAGTTCGGTAGATGCTACTGATATCCACGGCTTCATCCTACCTAGCCTTATGGTTTGTTTACCTTACTAGCAGATATCACTGACTGCTGTTTTCACAGCTTTTTTGGAGATATCATTCCAACATGCATGTGAATAACTCAAATTTATTAAAACTTACTTTGTGGTGATGCGAATAATGTAAGCAAAATTACATTTTCTATTGGAACATTATAAGTTCGTAAAACATCTAAAGCTTTTAGAACAGTTGTTCCAGTGCCTAGAAAAATTAAAAAAAAAGAATTAAAATAGGGAGAGAAGAAAACACTTAATGATCTACATAGTGAATAGAGAATAGTTTAATAGTTTGAAAGGAACTGTGAAAAGGTTATAATTCTCTCTCTCTCTATTACAACCCAGCTATTTTCCTGATGCTTCAGTTATTCTCGGGCACCAACACACTCGAGACGTTCTCCCCCAAAAATCAGAACACGGTTAAACAGGAAGGTTGAATGGAAGACAGAAGGTACAAAGGAAAAAGATGTTAGTATATGCATAGTTTTCTTACATGAGAAGTTTCTAGAATATTCCCTCATTTGTCGGCTAGCACTGAATGGATACAAATCAGCCAATCAGCGTGCGACAACAACGCAATCATGCTGGAATCCAATCTATGTCCCACTAATAGAAAATGTTACATTCTCTAAGTTGAATTGTTTCATTGTAAGAAGCTTTGATTATTTATTTTAGGGTTCCTTGTCGATCCAAAGCCCATGATAAAGGAAAAGGTTTGAGCATAAGGGTTAGCAACTCGCAGAAAACAAACTTGCTAAAAAGAAAAAGAGATGCTAACTAGGAATCTTGACCAGCAGCCTATGCTCCCTACCACTGATTTTGACCAATTCGGTCTCGTGTCCTTGTACGGGTATGAGGGCGGTTATCACTTCCCAGCTGCCCACACCATGGAAGGTTGTTTCTTGAGGGACCTGAAAAGGAAGATGGATTAGTGTTGGTCTAAGAGACCTGGGAGCGTGACCGCAGAGCCCAAGGGACAACTGCTTCAGGCCGGTCACGCACGGCCTTTTTATGAAGGGTTTTTTGAGTATTAGCTCCGCTCTTGAAAGCCCATAGTGGGGAGCCCTTACCGACGGAGATGGAAATCCGTGAGGTAGGATGAGGTGTGACATTTTTAGGGTCAAACTTTTCTAACCCTCTCTTCCTTGTGAGAAGGCAGCATGGCTGAAGATGCTGGTTGTCCGAGGGAAACACCTTACGGCTATCACACTCCTCCGCAGTCAGCAGTACGACTTTGCCCTCATACCTTGAGTAGCTGCTTTTAACCTCATCGTTCTTCAGTCGACCTGTCTGGTATGGTAGGACCTTCAGGAACATATGTTCCAGTCAGTATAGCTCGGCTGGGTCATCACGATAGTCAAGCCCGAACACCACGTCAAGGAAGCAGCTACGGTCGAGGCTCCCTACCATTAGGGATGTTATGCTCGTCAGTTGATATGCGTGAAAATATTACGAGTTGACCTTAGACGATAAAAGAGAGTGAAGACAAATGATCCAGTCACATGATAGGCTACTCTAATTCAAGCGTCCCAAGGCCCCACTAAGTAGAGGAAGAAGTCTTGACAAGACGTAGAAAATGTATTCTACAAGCAGTCAGAAAATCGAGGTTGACAAGCATACAAATCGAGCTTATTTATACATGATAGAAACATCCTTGGGAGAGCAACGAAAATACAGTCGTACTAAAATAATACATCAACCAATGACAGTCAAGGATTTTCCGAGTGGGAAATATAATCTCAAGGTCAACTGAGCAGCTTGTGCGCGGAAACATAAAAAAATCCAAAATTAGGACCTTTACCAAGTGAGTTCTTGGAAATCTAACGTCCCCAACAAGGGATAACAGGTGTAAGCAAGTATAATAACCAGTATATGCATTCGAATAGATGAATGCAATTACAAACATAAATAATAGACAATAGTCAATTGAATTTTGTTTTATCGATAAAACAATGTATTAATCACTTGTAAATTAATTATTTTAACATGTCACTTCATTTTAAAGCATCAGTCAGTCAGTCAGATGCAACGTAGAACTTAGTACGTAAGTACATCAGTTCAGGTTGCCATACCGCATTAGCAAAGAGACGCAAACTGTCAGTCCAAATCACATAGTGGTAGGGATAGTGGAAGTTTAAGCAGTAATGGAGAAGATTAGGGTTCGAATATTTATGAATCATACAAATGATTGAATTTGTGAGTGGCCTGATTAACATATTGTCTGGGTGCGAGTGATTTTGTGTTAACGATTCAAGTATCACTACATAGGTTTGTGTACTGGATTTTGAACTTCAATTTTAAGAAATAAAAAATATTCATGTACTAACATGGTATCTGCACTCAAATAGCTGGTGAGAACTTCGAATCATTAACTCAGTTCCTTTATATCTGCCACTATAATAACTAAATTATTTTTTAAGGTTAGAGTAGAAAGTACTAGATTTTGCAGTAAGGTAATAAAAACACCGATTTAGTCTCGTGTACTTTTACGGGTATGAGGGCGGTCTGCACTTCCCGGTTGCCCACACTATAGGAGGGAACTTCTTGAGGAACCTGAAAAGGAAATCGGGTTAGCATCGGTTTGAGCAACCTGAGGGCGTGACCACAGAGCCCAAAGGACAACTGCATGGGGCCGGTTACGCAGGGCCTTTTTATGAGATGTTTTGTAAGTGTTAGCTCCGCTCTTCAAATGGCCTTACTGCCGGAGACGGAAATTCGTGGTGTAGGATGAGGTGTGACATTTTTAGGGTTGACCTTTTCTAAATCCTTTCTTCCTCGTGAGAAGGCAGCATTGCTGTAAATGCTGGTTGTCCTAAGGAAACACCTTACTGCTGTCATATCCCTCAACTGTCAGTCAGCAGTATGACTTCGCCCTCAGACCTTGAGTAGCTGTTTTTAGTCTCAACGTTCTCCAATCGACCTGTCTGGCATGGTAGAACCTACAGAAACATATATTCCAGCCAATATAGCTCCATTGAGTCATCACGATAGGCAAGCCCGATCACCACGTCAAGGTAGCAGCTACGGTCAGGCAATAAAAGCCATAAATGGTGCTATTTACAAGCTTACACTAGAATCTGAGTATTGTTGGTATTTGGTTCAGAATAACGAAAGCCAACAGAAACGTTTTACATTTAGCATAATTTTGAAATTATTATTATTAAAAAGTAACTTCGGAAAAATCTAAATCAATATGGGGAAAAACACACACACACACACACAAACACACATACCTAGAATAGGATACATTAATAAAACTTTTCTATGTTCAATATTTGGTGGAAATTTAGCATAATATACTTTCGCATCGATGACATTATTTTCTTTAGCTTTTTGTATCAGTATTTTGCCAATACGCATATATCGACAACAATCTCTTAGACCACGTTCCATTGCTTCACCGGATCGCATAATAGATACACCACAATTTCCACGAAGAAATTTTATACCTTGATATGAATGACCTGTGTGTAAATGAAGAGTTAAGGAAACCAATAATAATAATAATAATATTAATAATAATAATAATAATAATAATATTCGACAGTGTTATGTAAGTTACATGGGCGAAAATCACAAGTTTGTGCAGTTGAATCAACAGACATACACCTATGATGCTAAAAATCAACTGTTAGGATGTATTTTAATGAAAAGTTGTAAACTAAGGTAAGTTTGGATTTACACATTTATTTATATGATATAAAAAAGGGGTCTCATGTTAGTTGATTACCATCCAATTGTTAATAAAGTGTCCTGAACCGTCACATCAGATGTATATATAGAGTGGTTGTAAGTCATTGGAGCTAGGTTTCTTGCCAGTTGTCATTATTCAACAAAACGTATCATCAGTAAACTTCATTGTACTTTTTATGGGATTCAAATTGATATCACTTAGATTTACAATCTAATAAGATAGAACTACTGTGCTATTTTGGTAGCCGTTAATCACCTGCAGAAATGGGATATTTACATTGATTGGTCAATTAATCGATAAAATTCAATCGATATTAAAAAAAATTAGAAAAGCATGAAAATCTAGGATGGTTCATGCTTAAAGTTCTGGTAAATCACGATCGATAGAGGTGAGAAATGATTGTAACTATCTCATTGAAATAGACTTTGAGCAATATCACTTATTATTTTAAATTACAGAGCACACTATCCTGTATATTTCTACTGGAAAATCTGTACGTATTAGAATAGATCAGTCCAACATTCAATCGGTTAATAAACTGACGTTATCTCTTGCTCAAGTTGTCCCTATCACTCTTGGGAACTTGACTGTGTGCCAACAAGCACAGAGTAAGGATTACAGTTGGCTAAGCTTTTACAATACGTCCCAACCAAGTAAGTTGGAAGTAGCTAGTAGAGTGATCGACAGATCAGTTACTTTAACGAACAACCTGACGCGATTTTCAGCATTACTTTAAAGCTACTACATGGACAAGTAATGCACTGAATACACCTTGAATAGAAAATTCAAAACTTACAGGTGTTTTACACTTTAAATGACAATGTTTTTAGACGTGGGTAAATAAAAAAAAGAACTACATGAAATTAGTTGTCTTCTATGATAAGTGGACGGGTCAAATAGATCATAGCTATGTCTTAATATTGACGTTTATAAAATAACAACTTAGAGTTCAATATAGAAATCAACTTGCATACATGATGAACAACCCCACCTGTAGGCGTTGTAATGCATACATTTTCATAAGGAAGTTGATTTAAGCCTTCTTCAACTATTAAACGAATCTGAAAACAATAAGAAACAGTAAAATTGACAGATAGAACATACTAAACAATCTGCATTGAATAAAAATTCATTTCTTGGAGTATCTCTATAAAAAATAGAAAATGTATTATTAACCAGAAAACATACTTATTTCTGATGACGGTTTGTAATACACGTACATGATCCGATTGTGGAAGTAATATTATGTGCTTTGAAAATTTACACAATACATCATCTACTTCAATGTTAAATATTGGTGATTGAAGTTCTTTTAATTTTAAATTTTCATTCTCATTCTCATCACTATCATTAGATTCTGATTTAACCTTTGACAAAGAATAAAAAGTGTTAACAAGGAAACTAACCTTAATATAATGGTGGGGCATATGAAATAACTATAGTTGAACAGATACGGTAAAAACAATTACGCTTTTGATCAAAATAAACCTAAGAACGAAGAAAAATGGACAAAATGAGTTACATGAATAAACACATGATATGAGCGTATTTCTTTAACAGAAAAATAAGCATGGTTCCAGGTATATGTTGTACTTGCAAAAAGTGATCTCTTGTTTAAAGAATATGTAGAGATTTCAGAGTCTGCAATAATCACTTTACATAATTTTCACTTTTAGACCCGATATTCGGTAATTGCGAAACGAGCTTCCAAAGAAATCTCAACTGTATCTTAGGAATTCTAACAAAAAGATATAGATATAAGCTTATTGTGTTTATTTAGAGATGAATAGTTGTTTTCGCAATTCAGCATAAAATCTCAAACGGTGACTTTAATTGTAAACAAAAAGCAATCAGGTCAGACAATACATATGAAATCTGTGTATGAAAATTTTGTAAGGACTAAATGCCGAGGGCAGTCATGTTTTGAAAAAAACTCATCTACAGTATTAATTCATATATTATTATGGATTTATGAAACTTAATAGCAGTTCATTAGATATCTACATTCACTTGTTTTCAGCAAGAATATTACGTACAGATCAAGGATTTACGATGTTCACTGATTGAAGTGTGATGAAAAAGCGTTAAGTTTGGTTCAAAGTGATTTGAGGGACACAGTTGTACAATGAAATGAATGAAAATAAAAAATAAACAACTACTGTAAAGCACACCAAACCAACCTTGAGAAGTTTGAAAGAGCCTCTTTAATTCACTATCCAATATATTCAAAAAGTTTTTCACGACCTAGTTTAAACCAGTTGTTTTATTTGCCCTCGATTCTTGTTTTTTCGGCACGGTTCCAGGTGTTCGGTAGTGTCCAATGAATGACGGTTTATCCACTCGACTTTCTAATTCTAGTCAGTTGGCAGTTGGTTGCGAGTTTGTATGTCTCGTGATTTGAATGAAAACGTTTGTTTCAGAGCAGTAGGGTTTGTGGATACCAGCAGTTATCGCATTACCAGACCAGAGATCAGTTAGCTGCACTGTGGAGAGAGAGTAGCTTGTTTCTATTCAGCTGGGAGTTGGTGTGACTCCAGCGAATGCCTGAGAAGGTCACATATCGGTGAACACTCTCTATACGCGCAAATATTCTTTTTGCGCTGGTGCTATTTGTTGGCTCCACTGTCTCTGTCATTTCGCCCCTCTTTTATGGTACGATTTCGGTATATTTCGATACCACGAAATCGCCAGTAAGTATATTCCTTAACATTGGTTTATGTTCTTGGTGACGGGCTCATAACTGACATTTAGTGGTAATCATAGTCACTAGGGACTCAGTCGTCACAACAACTTGGTAAGCTGACGTTTCTTCCGAAGAAGACAATGACGGTGGGTCTATTATTATCTATCACCACTTTCGTTAAGTTGCAGTACTAGTATTTATTTCCTTTAATATATAATATACTTACCACACCGTTTCGAAATGGTGGATATGTACATTATGAAAGACTCCAACGTGACGGGAATCAACTTGGTCATTGGCGTAATATAGCTTCAACTAGCTATAAGATGATAAAGAGCAATCTTATGAGAGAATGCAGTCGCTTGTCACGAAGCGCGCAGTAAAATATTTGAACGTTCGGATGTGAGACCTAGACACTAATTTTGGAATGAATGACACTGAAAATAAAGGCATCATGTGATGACGTGCACTGGGAGAATATAAAGAAAACGGTGAGAGAATCACAAACGTATGTAAATTTAACAAACTGGTCGAAGGCGATACCATATTTCGACACACAAACATACACGTGGCCATATGGGTCTAACCTGATCACACAACAACCATTCAACTCAATCACACCTGCATCAATAGTAAATTCAGAAGAACCATGGAGGACGTGAGAACCGAGAAAAAAGTTAACAGCTGCAGATCATCACTTGGCCAAGATGAAACTGAAACTCAAGACACGCTGGATAACTGAGCAAACGGCATCACTAAAGTTTAGTAAGATTTTTCTTCGGAATACTGGCAAACTCAACGAATTCGAGATAGCTCTCAGCAATAGTTTCCACTTAATTGAGAGGATACTACCACGAAGAAGCATTGGCTTAAACATATCATGGGGTTCCGAGCCACAAGTAACACTATCAAGACGAATAGATCTCCGCGGCTAGCCTAGATAATATTCAATAACATTCCAGCTATGGCACTGAAAGCAGTGACGGCAAAGATGAATCATGGTCTGTTCAGAAAGATTTGGGGGGATGAACATGTGCGACATTATCGATCATTTCGGAATAATCAGTCTAATGGAATTCACCACTACATATCAGCTTGATTGACTAGGAGAAAGCGATGGATAGCGTGAACAGCATAACACTATGGAGGCTTCTCTGAAACGACGGCGTGTCAGAGGAGACTGTCAACTACGTAGGAAAACCATGTGTGAAGGATAGCTGACAGACTCGTTGGAAAAGAATACGTTGTCTACTCTCACCCTATCTCTTTCTTCTGGATTATGAAGACATTAACATCTAGGTGAAGCACAGAATATAGTAAATAGCCAGGATGCAGCCAGACGATCTAGACTTCGCAGATGGTCTAGCTCTTCCACACACGCAAATAAATGCAAGAGTAGACGGCCGCTGTTGTGGTGGCCTCTACAGCAGTAGATTTTAACATACGCAAGGGAAAAATCAGGATCCTTCAATATAAAACAAGATGGTCCAGCTAAATCACAATTGATGAAGAGGATCCGGAAGATGAAGAGAGTTTTCTAAACCCAGGCGGCATCATTGATAGAGATAATGAATTTGATGCAGATTTATAGACACGGATTGTCAAAGAACGGCAGTATTTCTACGGTTGAAGAACATTAGGAACTCAAAATGCTAACAGTGGCGTCACGGTTATCAGTACGAAGGTCAAGATGGTTCTGCTGCATAGAACAGAATCTTAGCGAATCACGAAAAATGTTATCCTCAGGAACAATTCTGTATGCAAGATACTGAAGATCGGTTGATCAGTTACCATCGGTAACAACCTACTGAGGTAGAGAACAAATTAGAAAAACTCGCTGGAGGTAGATAGGAAATAACATGGAAATCACTCAGGTAAATCACAAGGTAAGACATGACTTGAAGCTCTCTTGGACAAAAGAGGAAAACCAAAAATCACATTACATCAATAATTGGAAGCGGAATTCGAAAGGGTGAATTACTGTTGACTAGAGCTGGAAAAGAGAGGGGAGGACAGATTTAGTTAGCGAATACTGGTCGGTCACCCGGGCTCCACAAGGGTTGCAAGGCGTGTATAAATAAGTTAACCAACTAGAATAGAGTCTACAAATATTAATGACTTGAATACTAAAAGTGAATAGTATTTCACCCTAGTAAGTACAGTTACACGAGGAACCAAACCTCCGATGTCGAAACGTGCACAACATATGTTTTTTTGGAACAGAGTGAAATATCAATCGATTTTGGACTCTAATGAAACAGTCAGGATTGAGCGGAGTCCTGATAGAGCTGTCCGTCATAATAATGGATGTCAGTGCGCATTCAGCCGATAAGTCTTTTGTCGTTCCAGGCTGCTCAGCCAAGGTCCTGAATGAAGACTATATTTAGCCCCCGTGTACCAGGAAAACGCTTGATTTCATATGATATTACTGTGAATACTTTTTTAAAATAGAACAATCCTAATGCGTCAACTAGACACACACATGACTTGGAAAAGGTTATAACATTTATTTTGTAGCATCTTACCAGGTACCATCTATTCTTCTGTCTACGAAACCCGTGATAGTGTTACTTGTAAAGTAACTAGCTGTGAGCTTACTTTTGAAGATTTTACACCTGAACTTATTGACATCTTTCATCGCTTAAGCTGTTTAGTTGATGGTTTTATTTTAAAGGACATTTAGCCATGGAGCAAAAGTAACGGATACCTGAAATCAGGAGATTTTAATGCACCTGATGTAAGTTGGTCAGAAGTGTACACTAGAGAATCTGAAATTCCCTTTGACAGTAGATCCATGATCAGTTTAATGGCGCATTCTTTGGTACATCGGATTACAGAATTCACACATATTTATCTGGATCGAAGACCTTTTTCAAATTTATGTATACTGATCCACTCCTGGATTTGTCTGTTTTACTGAGGAGGATAAGCATAAGAGCCATACACAAGTGTGATGCGACAAAGGACCGGTCACTAATGACTAACTTACAAATTTAAGAAGCACGACCCATAGTTAAAGGTAATCTTAAACACTGGAAATCTCCATTTGTACCATGCTTAGTATCAAGTGGATCCAATAAATACCCATCATGGATAACCCAAAATATTGAAAAAGTTTTAGATCTAAGTAATGACCATAGATTCGCTTTATCTTTACTGGCTATGAACAACATAGATTCACTTAATGTGAGACTGCGAACTCTCACGACGCATCTAAAAGTAAGGTCAAACCTTCGTATGAAGAAATAAGCCAGACAGGCTTTACGTCAGTGTGTCAATCTGTCCTTTTTGCGTCAAACGACTGCCTAGAGACCTGGCTACTTGTGTTACTCAGTGTCTTAGTGATTTAGTTGTAGTGAACTTTGATGAATACAATGACCCAAAAACACAATCAATATAATTTAGAGGGTTATATAACAAAATACATATGACAGATTATCGTTTCCTGATCCACTGTATTCAGTACACCATTGGTTTATGAACCACGCTGGAGTTCATCGCACCGTTTATCCATGCTAATTAGGAAAATTTTTCAAATTTCAGCTCTCTTGTTGGAATTCTTCACTCAGTAGTATTTAAAATCTCCTGACGCCTCTCATCAACAAATCGTTCCTAGTTTTAACGTTTATTGTATTTACGAGTCCATCCTTACTGACTTGAACACTTCGTACAATTTCAGGTAGCCAGCCTCTTGAAACTGACATTTCAGCCTCACTCCGAACGTTCACTTTAGGGCACCCTCAACTGTTCCACGCTTGAAAAGTAGCTCAATACTGTGTGAACGATCTATTTTAGAATGCACGTGTTAAATATTATGCTGATTTCTATTTTCTAACAAAGCAGTTAGGCCGCCACCTCCTTGTAATCCTTCGTTGTTCCTGGGTAGAAGTATTTTTTTCAAAGTTAGTATTTTAGGATTTCTAGCGTCGTCTATCAGAAGTCGCGGTGACTAGTTATTCAAGAGTCTCTCAGCTTCACTTCTTCTCTCATCTACAGATAGTCCAAAGGATTCAGAAACAACATGATTAAGTGGATGATTGTCCACTTTCAGTATCCATGTGATGGATGCCATTATCTCTTGCTCCGTCCTAGTATTCTTTATCCTTAACTTCACACATCACTTCACTGATCACGTTTCACATTACCAACTTTCCTCTTTGAATCCAGCACCCAGTCCGGATATTGTAAAATGCCTTTGTGGAACCTAGGTGCCTTAGTGCGGAATGATAATGTACAATCAACAAAGTAATTAGTTACTCGATAAGATGGCAGCATGCACTCTGGGTGTAGACACATCGCTGTAGTTAAAGCAGATTTCTGTTGTGACTGTTTCTCCCACGAATTTTAGGTTTTGTCTTCCAAACACTCTGATGTATCAATGGTTTTCACATTGCTCAACTTCTTCCACCGAATAGTCCTTATGATAGATCTTTCTGAATTTTGTGGTTATTTAATTCTTAAAGACTTAACATATATAGACCCCTCATGTTATTTGGGCAGTACATTGTCTTCAAACACCTTACGAACCTCCTCAGCCTCACAACGGTTCTCAACAACTTATAACAGTTTGTGTAAACGTAATATAGATTCATATAGCAACACAATGAGTGAACAGAGCTGCCCAAAATAGAATATCATAAGAATCTGAGAGTCATAACAAGATTCTAATTTGGAGCAGCAAGCAAGTGTCAGGCTTCCGACGCCAAAGGATTCAGAGGAATTTTCGTAAGTTATTTCATTACGCGGAAGAGGTGTTTGGAGTAATATACCCGATGTTTACAAAACTTTATTTGAAACAAGGTATTTAGGCAGTGAGTCTTCGTTTCGAGTTTGAAGTGGGTATGCTAGAACGAGTTTAATGGCAAGGGACCAAAATGGTGAAATGTCTAACTGACCTACTTTGTGAAGTCATACTGAGGAACCTCAACCTTGACCTATTATCTTATTGTAAGTTAGGAGATGGTTTAATACTGGCTTGTCGTGTCGTGATTTTAGTAGTAGTATGTCTTATTCTTTCCTTTCATCTAAAAATGATGGTTTAAGAGAACATTGTACGGAAGTTTAAAAGCTTAGACATAATCGTTTACTTCTCGAGTTCCGTTTCTCGCATCGAGTAATGATTTACTGGAATTCTGTTCAAGATATCGTAATAGACCCATTTTTATTTATAGATTCAAAGTGATATTGAATCCTCACGGATTTATTAAATGCGAGTATAGTACAGACGGATTAACCTCTTTTCTTTGTTACTGTACATTGGTCTCGCGTAATAGTTCAGAAGACCTTTAAAAGAATAATAATCCGATTAAGCAGTCAGAAAAGCACCTTACACTTTTATACGACTTATATTTACTGAATACAGAAATGTTTACACTCGCCGCGTTTGTTTTTACTAATGAAATTAAAGTTTCATGAACTGTCGTAAATGGTATGTGTTTTCGTATTTTGGCCTTGAGGTCAAATGCAAAATATCTTCCAACCCCATCCGTTCTCTACAACAGTTGGGACTCTGACAGGTAGATAAATTCTTATTTTTATGTTGATGAAATATCTTTTAGAAAGGGCAACTGATAGTGGTCAACCATCAGAAGATTGGGCCCTTATTTTAGAAATCTGTGATACAGTAAATGAAACAGATGATGGGTGAGCTTCTAAACAAAAACAGTTTTTATTTTTACAGACCAAGGGAAGCTATCAGAGCAATAAAGAAGCGTCTGGTCACTTCTGCGGGTAAAGACAACGTCTCAATATGGTACACATTAACACTTCTTGAAACATTGGTAAAAAACTGTGGGAAAAGATTTCACAGTCAAGTTGCTAATAAAGAATTTTTGCATGCCTTTCTAAAACTTCTTTCTCCTAAAAATGATCCCCCACAACAACTTCAGACGAAGGTGTTGTATATGCTTAAGGTAATTATGTTCATTTCGCTGACAGTCCTCGTAGTGTTGGATATCAAGTAACTGGGATGTTGCTGGAAAAAGGGATCTAGAAAAAATATATGCTTCGCTCTTGCAAAAAGGGGTGCAATTTCCAACAGTTTCACCTGCTGATTGTCATGTGGCTAAACCGTCAAGAGGCACAAGTGTGAGTGTAGTCCTTTAATTCTTATAACCTTTTATACTTGAATTTAAATGACTTATCAAAGTAATATAATTTGTAAAGTTTGTTTCAATATTTGTATTAAGGATAGCTACATTGTTTTGTTATCATATAATAAGCTCGATAAAATGAGGCGACCGAATTGTGACAAAAATAAAATATAGGAAAATTATAAAGGTATAGAAACATTAGCATTGGTGTGTACATGTTAAAACAATAGAACCAGAATGGTATGTAATAAGAAATACATTGCAAAGTTGGATTTCATTCATTTGTGAATATGGTCAAAAATACTGTAAAACCCTTCCTTCTTTGACCATAAACCATCCTTTAAAGTTTCTCATCTTAATGAGTTGTACAGTCTTTGAGAGTTTACAAAGAATCGCAATGAAACAACCTATGCTAAATTACTAGTTCATTTGTTTTTCGTCACTTAATTTTGTAAACTAATCATTTTTGACATAGTCTCAGCTTTGCAAATAATGCAACACGCGTCAATCGTAGACTACCTATAGGACATGGGTCAGTCAGTGATGCCATTTGATAGCAACAGTGCTATGATAAGGACAATAGAACACGAAGTCGCCACATTTCCAGCTCATAAAGGTTAAGTTTTACAAGCAAAGAATAACACTGGTTTCACTGACCTTTTTTATAGCACTTTTTACCATCGTGATAATGTCGCAATTGCACCAAAGACAGCTCTAATCCAACTGAATTCCAATGTATATAAAAATATTTCATCTACCAGACTAACATAAATACAAAAATACGCAATTTTTAGACTGCTTAATGGATTACCGTGTGGTTAGGGAACAGAAATATATTCCTTTCAGTTTTCTGGTATCCCCTTCATTTTGATTCTTTTAAATTTTTTTTTGTATCTCGGGAAAATATTTTAGCTGCGCGATAATTTGGTCATATCTAAAACTGGTGTAATTATTCCACGGACTGGTTCACAAGGAAATGATAAATTGACTGGAAGATCTATACTAGTTAAAAATCCTGGATTGGGTAAGATTAATTCAATTTTCAATGTTTACCAGTGATTTGATTCAACGCAGATTGTGTCATTTCAGCTGACAAAAAACGTATAAATTTTAGATGTTGTCAACAATAAGTTTAGCCTAAATTAAAACTTCTCGAAAGTTTTATAAGATTATTTCTAAATAGGATTAACACTGAATTTTTCATGTTTCAGCTATGAATTTAAAATCTGACCGCAAGAAATCCCCTCTTTTTTTAAAAATGTTTTGCAGAATTATGTGATGATTTTAATTTAAAACTTGATATTGAATTTATAGATCAAAGTTTAAATCTTTTGACAATTACACCGAACTAAAGATAGTCTTGTTCATAGATTGTGGGTAAAAAGTGAGCGTCAACAAATTTTTCAAATACTAGTTCATGTAAAGAACATTTGTCGGAGACTTTAGATCCCCAGAACTCACTTGGTAGTTTTGCAATTTATTCCTGAAATTTTGAATTTTTTATGTTTTCGTCTCAAAGACGCACAGTTGACCTTCAGCTTGCATTTCCTACTCGGGATATCCTTTACTGTCATTGGTTGATGAATTGTTTTAGTACGCTGTTTTGTGGCTATCACCAAAGGTGTTTTATCATTGTATAAATAAGCTTGATTAGTGTGCTTGTGGACATCGTATTTTCTAGGTGCCTGTCAATACATTCTCCCTACTTCTTATCAAGAATTCTCCCTCTAGTTAGCGGGACCTGGGACAATCGTGTCGCTGAATCATCGGTTTTCGTTCCGTTTACTGAGTAAGATGAACCCGTAATATCTGCAAGCATATCAACATCACTATTTTAGTGCTCGTAGTCTATTTGCAATTCCTAATCTCCAGTTACTAATGAGTATCAGTTTTTTCTTATGGAATGTTCAAACACAATGTATCCTATTCCAATGCATTCATTAGTAAGAGGGAGCCGAAATTCCACGGCAACCTTATCTAGTGTGCTGTTAAGTATATCACGGCAGATATCACTTTCGGTTTCCCACATCATCGAAGGAAATCTGAAAATGATATCATGATAGCGTTGGTCTTGGCGACCTGGGAGCATGATTATTTGTGGCCAAGGAATAATTGCTTGACGTTGGCCACGCGTAGCCTTTTCATGGGAAGTTTTGGACTTGTTAGTTCTACTCTTTAAAAGGCATTGCCACCGGAGACAGAAATCCGTGGAACTAGGTGGTGGTGTGACA